AAAAATAATATATATATAAAATTTTCTTCAGTTATATATAAAATCGCAAAGTGATTTATTATTGTAATGAAATAACAGAATTGTTCGGAGATGCGGATACACAGTCAGTCTCTTCATGTTTCCGTAATTTCGCGTGCACTTGACAGTTGATCTTCCGGCCGTAAACACGTCATTTGGATTGGAAGAGTGCGAGGGTGTCGCTTTAGGCTTGCCTCGCATACGAGACGTAATCAAATTCCGTGGTCGCCCGTATGAAGGGGATCTTAATCGCGTCACAGCAGCTGAGAGCAAATACGCGTAGCTTTACTTCACTGACATGCATGATGTATTACGATGTATTTGCAGGCAAATTGAAAATTAAATTGAGCAATATTGATACTTTTACACGTAGGCGACAAGATTCCGTTCCCTTCAGGAACGTCGATTTTATTTACATCCATCGAGGTCGGTTTTGAAGAGATGTATTTCTCGAATAATCAATCTTTATCTTATCCTTTGTTTAAAGGTTTAAATAAAAATAGCGATAAAATAATATTTCAAACAAGATTCTCCACTTAAGATTCATCGTTATCTATACTTTTCCGCAACATTTTGCGTTTTATAAATAATTTCGATCTCCGCGTAGAACGTCATGTGGAATTTTACACGCGCGTATGTCACTGAAGATGACGTCGACGATCGTTCGGATTCTTTAATGGATTCGTGTCGCGAGTAAATCTGTCGACTACCCTCGCACGCGACTCACTCCGTGCGTCCACGTTAAATCGCTTCCTGTGTAGAGATATTTATGGTTTCCGTTTTACGGCATCGCGTACATCGTTATACGTTACGCTAGCTTTCGTTCACCCTACGGATTTCTTTCGCGCTGGAATTATGGTCTCGGATCGAACTTCGTGACTTTATTCCGATCACGATAGCGACGATAACGAGCGGGAATGTGAGTACGCGTACTGGAATTATTTTCCGAGACTCTATACCACTTGATATTATATTGGATTCGCAAGCAAATTTGTTTCTGCAAATGTGTTACATGTGTTGCATAATCAGATAACCTTGTCATATAACAGCTGGATAAATAATCGATTAAATAAGAGGTCAGATTCTTGTTATTAAACGGGTAAAACTAATGAAACGTATTTGCATTGAATTATAAGAAATTTGCTATCATATAAATTATTATCACGAGTTTTCCATTACGCGCGAGATAACACGTGTTTGAATGATGGATGATAAGTTTTATCATTTTATCATACATCGCAAAATGTTTTAAATTATTTAATTTATATTTATTAATATAATAACAGCAGCTTAGAAGATGATAAGCTTTAATATTGTATTTGTCAAATAAAAAACTTCTTGGTAATAATATATAAAAAAGAAAAAAAGAAAAAAATTTTTCCCCCATCTTACTTTTTATGTAGAAATATTATAAAATTACAAGATATTTTTTTATTCATTAAACGAACTTTTAACAATCCAATAAATTCGGAGTTGACTCGAACTTGTCCTAGTTTTAATGTCTTGATGAAAGCAACCAACAACTCGCCTAATCGCTCTGAGGTGGCTACGTTCGTCACCGAGAACTTTGCCATGCAAGATGAGTTAGATAACTCAACGTTGCCGGATTGGAAGGAGAATCCAGCCATCCTGAAATCCATTCAAGATCCGCAGTTTCGCGAGTGGGCGAGACGTTTGAATAATATTTGGGAAACGCTAGCGCGGAAGATAAAAGACGACGTGGTGATCAACCCGCAACGACACAGCTTGATCTACGTTAATAACACTTTTGTCGTTCCCGGAGGACGATTCAAAGGTAATATCGCGAGAAATTATCATTTAATTTAACTTTAAAGTTAACGCGGCTTGAAGCGATTTTTCCACTTGTTGAATATTGCAATTAAACGAAATAAATATTTAGGTAATCCTGATTTACGTATCTTTAAAAAAATTTTTGTTGCCGTCGAATTTTAACGGATCTTGAAAGTGTCTGGTTGTATTCTTTTATATTCTTGATTCCTTAAAAATTCTGTACTATCAGCCAACTTTGAGAACAGTTATATCCGTAGAGCCTCGATGGCGTTAAGGTTGACATATTTGTGACTACACATTTTTATGTGTTTACATTGGTAATAGTCAACGAGAAGTCGTTTGCTCATTTTTATGTGTTTGCATTGCCAAGAGTCAAAAAGCGATAATAATTTTTATGATATTTGTTATACGCGAATTCTCTTTCTACCTATTTGATTCTTTTTCTTTGTAAAAGTGGACGCTCAAAGAACTATTGCAGAGAGACGATAAGATACTAATCGTGAAAATGAAATAAATGAAGGAACAAATTTTTTTTCTTGCATAATAAAATCGCTAAAATATAATCTATAAATTTAAAAAATTTTGTTTTTTAATCATAAAGATTTTATTAAGAAAAATGTTTATAATAAAAATATAAAAAGAAGAAATGAAAAAAGAGAAAGCGTTCGCGCACATTAAAAGGACTTTTGCTGCAGAATTTTATTATTGGGACAGCTACTGGATAATCGAGGGACTCTTATTATGTGACATGCCTGTCACCGTTAAGGGGATCATCGAGAATTTCCTCTCCATGGTGGAGAGATTCGGTTTCGTTCCGAACGGTGGTAGAGTTTATTACTTGTCGCGAAGCCAACCGCCTCTATTGATACCGATGGTACGTAGTATGGCATCTTCAACGTCTTTCGAGTATAAAGCACATTTTTCCGCTCCTCTCTCTCTCTCTCTGGAATCAGTTGCTTTTCATACAGAGATCGTGCCAATGGCGAAATCTCTTTGTGCGAAATTTCGTCTCTTTTTTCCTTTAAACAGTTTCTCGAAGAATTCAAAGTTTCATTTTTGTCTCAAACGCTAAAGACGGTCTCTCTTCCAGGTCGCGAAATATTACGACTTTACCAAGGATCGCGAATTTCTCAAGCAAAATATAGCCATTCTTGAAAAGGAATTCGAATACTGGCAAAACGAGAAGACGGTAAACGTATTGAAGGATGGTAAGACTTACAGGATGGCGCGTTACGTGACAAACAGCAACGGTCCACGACCGGAGAGTTACAAGTAAGCCCCTCTCGACGGATAGAAAAAACAGGTTGCAGGATGTGATCGATATAACTGTCAAAATGTTCAAAGGAATTTATATCTACCGGTTCTCTTCATTTTCTGATTATTATTATTTGGCAAATTTATGGATGTGAATTTTTACTCTTCCGGCGTGAATTTTCCGGGGAAAATATCAATTCGTGCAATTTTTATTTTCTTCCGAGAATTCGAGAGGCGAAGCAGAATCGCGATTTTTTCCTCTACATATTGAATTATGTCCACGTAACGTGTAACGTGACGCTCGGGAGGAGGATCTGTCATCATTTTTCTCCGTAAAAGTATACTGTAAAAAAAATTGACTAAAACTTTAGACAAAATATCTGCAGTTTTTTTGCAGACACACCCTCTGAATTTTCAAACACACTCTTCTGAACTTTTAGAAAAACAAATCTCTCGAAAGTTCAGACAAAAATATGTCTGAATTTTTAGAAAACTTTTTACAGTGTATTTTTTTTTACGACAGTTGCATCGATCACCGGGAGATAGGTAGGAGATAGATTAGTTCACGTTAATTACAACGGGTCTTTAACGTAAAATCGAACGTGTACGTCTTCTCACAGGGAGGATTACCAATTGGCGCAACAATTGCCGGAGGGGGAGCACAGAGGGCTTTACAACAATTTGAAAGCCGCGGCTGAGAGCGGCTGGGACTTCTCCTACAGATGGTGCATACGAATGGATAGAAACGCAAACCTCAGCCTCATTAATGCCTCGACGAGTGATATTATACCCGTCGATTTGAATGCGATATTACAGCGAAATGCCCGGGTGCTTGCTCGTTTTCACGGTATCCTGGGCAACTTGGAGGTAAGCCTCTCGCTAAACTGCATCCTTCCGTTTGGATTGCTCCGCAAACGCGCGTAGCATCAATCCAGAGCACGATATGATCGTATTTATTGCTTCGTCGTCTCGCTAAGCGACGACGATAATATTATTTGATAAATAAGGAAATATCAGAATATCGCGCGCATTCTTCTCTTGATTATGACACATAAGAGTTATAAATTAGCTTTTTCCCCATTTCTCTTTGTAATCATGTATAAAGAGAAAAGCGGAAATATATAAGTCGACAATTATAAATGGTATTATCGAATTTCGTCCGTTACGTCAGATACGCGCGAGATTGACGTAATATCATTAACGCTTGGTCTCACATCGTTATCAATCGCGTAACATATACCCTATGTTGTCGCTTCAATCTCCCCTCTCCCCTTTCTCATTCCAGAAAGTCTGGCGTTATGCCAAGATTGCCCTGGACTATCAAGCTGCTATCGATAACGTCCTATGGAACGAGGACGAAGGAATCTGGCTTGATTATGATACGAGGAATAAACAATCCAGAAATGCCTTCTATCCCTCGAATTTGTCGCCGCTGTACACAATGAGCTACAATCAGAATAAGAGTACCTATTATGCCCTGAAGGCTATTTCTTACCTCAAAAGAAATCAGGTCGATTTGTATTTTGGTAAGTTTGCATCGATCGTAGTTTTTGCAAAAGTAAAATATTCATCTTTCTTTTAACGCGCAAAATATACGTTTATTCTTTCTTTCTCGTGCAAAATGTTATAATTCGTCGATTTAATCTTTTCGTCGCGATTTCTTGCCCGTCGTTTTGCTTTATCGTTCGCAAAATCCGAACAAATGCGGATTTAAAAAATTCGCATCGAGATTCCTCCAGAATCTCGTTCCATTCAAGTCTACCGTTCATTTTATTCCTTGCAAGCGCTTTTCATCCCTTTCGTAGTAACCGAAATGAAATAAACAAATGGCGCCAAAGTGGCCGAAATAAATGGGATAAAAATAGCGCGTAGTCGGAAAGACCAAAGGTTCGACGATCGATAAAGCTTGGTGAACGTATAGCCGTGTGATATTCGGGTATACGAGTTAATCCAACTTTCCGGAAATACGTTCCCTGTGCACGAGATCGTTTATCTTCCATTTACTTTTTTCAAACTCGCCAAAGCTGTTCGGCATTTCTGCCAGTCATTCCGAGGAATCGGGGTAAACAATAATTTTGCCGATTAACTCCCTTCAAAGAGAAACTGAGGTAGATTACACATACTACAGGCATCCTGAACCACGTTCAAATACCAGATTATGTATACGAAAGCTCTATAATATAATATACGGAATGGATCGACGAGAATTTTAGGAATGCTATAGATGGATTATCTCAAGCAAATTGGAGTTCTGTTTAGTCGCGCGCATGTAATACCCATCAAAAATAATTGTGTCAAATTATTCAGTGGCGAATCACAATATTTATTACATGATTCCAGCTACAATTTCACAAGCGACAAGATAATGAGTTAGTCTTTAATAAAGTATAAAGTGCTGACAGCCGGACAGAATTTAGCACATGTTCCGTCGTCAAATTTGCATAAAGTAGTAGACGCAAATGTTGCCTTTCGCGATAAATAATTTAAACAGTTTGAGAGAGTTTGGAAATGTGCTATCTTGCAAGGTAAGGGCTTTACGTAATTCCAAGTACGTTTGTAAGAACAGTTTTGGCGAGTCTCCGTGTTTGCGAGTGAAGCATCATTATTCGTGATAATGGTGTAACCGGGGGAGAGACGTATACGAGGGGGAGATCTCCAGATGTTTGGCGCGTGAAATATCACGATCTATCAATGACTGACTCGTAGCCGGAAAAATTGGACAGATCCTAGGAAAATATTCTCGATCGGATTTATGCGGCTGCCAACGACAGTGATTCGTAAAAGTTCTATCAGAATTTTTCCGCGAATAAATATGTCGTTATTATTCTTCGGATTGGACATCTGGCTCCTTGTCAATATTGACAACTAACTAAAATATCGCGAATTATTTTCAACGTGCGTGATACTTTTAGTTCCTCAAAAAACGTAGAGCGTTTTTTTTTTTTTTTTAAACTTTGGTATCGTACAGTTTGGAAAGTAATTTCTCGCAGTTCGTTAACAGCTTTTAACATACAACTACATGAATTTTATATGTAAAAATATATATAAAAATGAAAACGATCCGTGAGGTGTAAGTTAATCCGAACATTTATCAAAATTTTTTATAAGAAAGAATCTTTTTAATTACAAATTAATTTAATAAAAATTTCATTATACTTCCAATGATAAAAAGAAGCGATCAATTATATTTTATCGAAGAATGGAGCAGTAGCGTTGAGATTAATTGCAAGTCGACATTAAATTTTCATTAAGGAAACATTGACGTCAAATTGATCAAAGGACTGGCAAGAACTATAGATAAAAATAAATTTGATAAATTGGAACATTTTCTCTCTCATTTTCTCTGTCTGTGAATGACAAATTTAGTATGATTCCTTAATCAGTGTTTTAATCCTAGACACGCGATGTTCCGGGTTAGTTTTCACTTATTTGATTACTAACGCATGGCGGATTAAACTGCGACTGGTTTTAATCCAATAAAAACTTTTCTAATCGTGCGTTCATCAGATATTGCCAGAAATTCTACAAATGAGATGCGTTTATATTCTTTAGATTATAGAAAAAAAAACATCGAAATTTAACGATCACGTGGTCGCGAAGGACCAAGACGTCTTTACACTGGGAACGATTTAGTATAGCGATTCTCTATAATTTCCCGGGTTCGATTGTCTTGAATCGAGGAAACGATATCGAGCTCTCTTGGAAACAACAGTAATAAGAAACAATTGGCTTTTCGTTACAGGTGGCACGCCAACTTCCGTAAACTACACCGGGGAACAATGGGACTTCCCTAACGCGTGGCCGCCTTTGCAATCCTTTTTAGTTGCGGGTCTCTATCGAACCGGGGTGAAAGAAGCGATGAACCTAGCCGAGACATTGGCCGGCAGATGGCTCAGATCGAATTATATTGGTTACGATGAATACGGCAAAATGTTCGAGAAGGTGAGTCCATCTCTTTCTTGCACTTGACAAGACCCTATTCATTCGCGAACTCCGCTCCGTTGACCGAAAAAGTAACAGATTAAGGGAAAACTTTTTGCTGACGAGTTGTGGCAGATGTTTTACACACACACACACACATACACACGGAATAGAGATTCTATACCGATATAATTCGAGCTAGTTTTCGAGAAATCCTTCTTTCAAGAAGGGGACAATTTTTATGATAATAGAGTACATGATTAAAGTTTGATTATAAAAATATATAAATATAACGCACACTTTTCATCACGCGATCTGTTAAACCGATATTTTATCCTCGAATTTACAGAAGAAAGTAATTAATTTAATATTATTTTAATTTCAATTTACCACTCTTTTTTCGTAATGTGTATTTTTTTTTTATTTTTCTGTTGGCAACCAAATATCAATACATCTCGCGGATATCGAAATTAAAAAGCGTAACTACATATCAATCCTATTTAATGCTCTTTATCAGAGCAAACATTTTCATTTCTGGGAGCGACGCGGTCGCTGTATTTTCTCATGATTTTTTTTTGTTTTTTTTTTTGTATGGAAACTCAGTGAGATATGTATTATATTTCGGAAAATATTCTCGAATTTCGACTATAAGAAGAGATAGTTGTACGTCTAATGTGCACGCGAGGGTGACCTCCCTTGTTTCTTCTTGTCGCTCCACGTTATTCTCCATCCATTCTGGGACGTGGAAAGAAACGGAAAAGGGAAAAAGAGAGAAGGAGAAAGGGGGCTGTGAAAGCCTCCGGAAAATACGTCCGGTGTACGGCTCGTTCTAATCTGTCTTGTTTTGTTTTGTCACCCTTCGTCCTCGGAGAGGAGAGGATTCAATGTTGCGATTAGACGCACGGTATATTGAGAGAAAGTATGTTATGTACATTTTATTCGCCTCTTGCTCCCTTTCATTCTCTCTCTCTCCCATAAAGGAGAAAAATGTTGTCGGTGCGCTCATGCATATTGAGAAGGCAGTATACATAAAATAGCCAGTATCGGGATATCAGAAGCGGGAGAGATCTCTTTATTTTTATTCCCTTAAATTGTCTCTTTTCTCAGACCATACGCGTTTATATATATTGAAATGTTCACCTTTTTATTGAAATCTTTGTTAATTATCTAATATATTATTAATAACACGAAAAAAGTCAATTATATTAAATTATCACGAATTTAACCTTTAAATCCTGAACAATTATAACGTTTGTAGTGTATATAACTTTTCTTATAATATTTTAATATTTTATCGATTTATCGAGAATTACAATTTTTATATGGAGATTTTTATATAGAGATTTTTATATAGAGATGTTATAATATCTGAAGATATAAATCGATTGCGAGTACTTCTCGCTTTAATAACGCTATCTAAATAATTAAAAAAATCTCTCTTCGAGAGTTTACATAAAAATTAATTTTTTAATCTAAAAAAATGACGCTGCTGTCTTCGACATTTTTGCCAGTATTAATAAAAATCGATTCTTTCTGTGTTCGTGTAAGAAACAGCTATAAATGTATTTATGTGTGCATGAAAGAGAGGGAGAGAAAGAAAAAGAGACATTATATTAATAATATAATGTTGGGGATGAAACTATTTTAACGGGCAAATTTTGATTGTAATAATTATAAACAATGTGTAGAGAGAGAGCGAGACAATGAAATTGCAAGCCGTGCCTGGCAACTTTACGCGAATCACGTCGCATTGATACCGGAGTATCAGTAACGAGCTCTGGCAGAAAATAGCCGGTCCATCTCGCTGAACAAACATATTCGATCGATTCAATCGAGGTTTCTTTCGTTCGCCTTGTCCTGAAAAATGAGAAGGGAAA